CTGGGGATTCAAACCCGCCACCTTAGGTGTATGTGGCTGGCGCCTTAGCCGCTTGAGCCACAGGCACCGAGCCGCTCAGGATGGTCTTGGACTCCCCAGCTCAAGCTACCCTCTCCCCTCAGCCTCCCGGAGTACTAGGATCACAGGTGTGAGCCACTGTGCCTAGCCAAGCAGGTTTCTCTTTTTTTCTTTTCTTTTCTTTTTTTTTTTAAGAGACAGAGTCTCAGTTTGTCACCCTTGGTAGAGTGCCATGGCATCACACAGCTCACAGCAACCTCCAGCTCTTGGGCTTAGGCGATTCTCTTGCCTCAGCCTTCCTAGTAGCTGGGACTACAGGCACCCACCACAATGCCTGACTATTTCTTTTTGTTGCAGTTTGGCCAGGGCCAGGTTTGAACCCGCCACCCTCGGTATATGGGGCTGGCGCCCTACTAGGTGAGCCAGAGGCGCTGCCCCAAGCAGTTTTCTTTATTGCAGGACTTTTTGGATTTTTTTTTTTGCAGTTTTTGGTGGGGGCTGGGTTTGAACCCGCCACCACCTTACTCCTTTGAGCCATAGGCGCTGCCCTATTGCAGGACTTTTCACAGCCTGAGATACGTCAAAGTGAATCTCCAAGGCTCGAGGTGGGAGGACAAAATTTTTTGACTCCGACCTCTGTCCTTTTATTGACGGGTACGCCAACTTGGGAAAGACTGATCTGGTGGGTTCTTGAGGCCCTTTCAGCTCTAACCAGCTGCGATTACACAATGAGGTTTGCTGCACAGGCATGACCAGGATAAGGGAAGAAGGGGATGAGGGCCCAAAGGCTATTACACTGCAGACTAGATTGAGAAAGGCCTGGAATGCCAAACTAAGGCCTACAGACAGCATTACACACAGTAAACAGTTGGGGGGAGAAGCAGGATCCCAGTTGTGCTGTAGGAAATGTGCTCCAGGGCAAGCTAGGGTCTGGATAGGAGAATGGGGTGGAGATATTGCTGCCCTAACTAGGCATGAAAGGCTAAGAAATTGTTCTGGGATGGCAGGCTTTGTGACTGGACAGGACACATGACACCAAGGGGTTCGAAGGGGCCCAAAGACTTCCAACCTGTAATCTCAGATGCTTAGGAGAGACCCTAGAAGAAGGGAACGAAGGTAGGAAAGTCCTGGAGGAAAGGCAAAGTCAGACAGCCAGGAGGACAAAAAGAAGAGTAAAATCAACAGAGGTGCTTGAGATCAAATTGAGAGGTGCAACAAATCAGAGCGCTTCGTTCTACAGCCTGAAAAGCCCTGGGATATTAACTAACGCAGGGAAGCAATCAGATTCTCATCCTTAGGCGAAGTAAAGTTTTATCTCATAATTTGATATCAAGGCATAGGACTGAACGCTAGCTAATAACTAACTCAATAACTAAAGGCTACAATTTGATAAACACTGTATTAAGCACTCTACAAGGGCCAGCGCCTATTTGAACCTGGCCCCAGCCAAACTGCAACAAAAAAGTAGCCTGGCATTGTGGCAGACGCCTGTAGTCCCAGCTACTCGGGAGGCTGATGCAAGAAAATTGCTTAAGCCCAGGAGCTAGAGGTTGCTATGAGCTATGATGTCAGGGCACTCTACCGAGGGTGATAAAATGAGACTCTGTCTCAAAAAAAAAAAAAAGTTTTAAATAACTATCTGCTAGACAGACATTACAAAACAGAATAAACAATAGACAGCTCAATGCCACAGATGACTTCTTTTTTTTCTTTCTTTTTTTTTTGTCTGAGACAGTCTCACTATGTCTCCCTCGGTAGACTGCCATGGTGTCACAGCTCACAGCAACCTCAAACTCTTGGGCTTAAGTGATTTTCTTGCCATAGCCTCCCAAGTAGCTGGGACTACCGGTGCCTGCCACAATGCCCGGCTATTTTTTAGTTATAGCTGTCATTGTTGTTTGGCAGGCAGGGGCTGGATTCGAACCTGCCAGCTCTAGTGTATGTGGCTGGCACCCTAGCTGCTTGAGCTACAGGTACCGAGCCTCTTTCTTTTTTTTTCTGAGGCAGAGTCTCAAGCTGTCACCCTGGGTAGAGTGTCTTGGCATCATCATTCACAGCAACCTCCAACTCTTGGGCTCAAGTCATCCTCTTGCCTCAGTTTTTCTATTTTTAGTAGAGACAGGGTCTTGCTTTTGCTTAGGCTGGTCTCGAACTCCTGAGCTCAAGCAATCCATTCACCTCAGCTTCCCAGAATGGTAGGATTACATGCATGAGCCACCGTGCCCAGCCTTTTTTTTTCTCTTGAGACAGTCTACTCTGTCACCCTTGGTAGAGTGCTGTGGCATCATAGCTCACAGGAATCTCAAACTCTGAGGCTTAAGCGATTCTCTTGCTTCAGCCTCCCAAGCAGCTGGGACTACAGGTGCTCACCACAACACCATCTTTTTAGAGATTAAGTCTCACTCTTGCTCAGGCTGGTCTTGAACCTGCGAGCTCAGGCAATCTACCTGCCTTGGCCTCCCACATGCTGGGATTACAGGGGGCATGAGCTGTGGAGTCTGGCCTGCTCTCAATTTCTGTACTCATAGCAGAAAAGACAAGAGAACAGTATGACGACTGAACTAAGGACACAGACTGAACTTTGAGCTGTGTTGCTCCATAGGACACCTCTATTTCACTATACTGAGTTTTCCTGGGTTCCCTCCTTAGACTGTCAGTCCCATCCACATCTGGCTAATTACTGGATGCTCTGGCTCAGTGCCCTGTGCTGCTTCTATAGACTAAGAAAATGCTCCAGGCTCGGCACCTGTGACTCAAGTGGCTAAGGTGCCAGCCACATACACCTAAAGTGACGGGTT